GTGTAATTGGCCATCATCTTGATATGCATGAACTTTGCATGTACCCCTTTACTTTTACATTCTCTCTCGTTTTATCCTATTTCTCAACACCTTCCCCTATGTAGTCCATGTCCTCATGTCGTCAACCTGTCGCACTGACGAGCTCGGGGGTTGGCTAGACAATGATGATTCGTCTGCGATACCGAGCGAAACGGATCATCTGTGCTCTGGAGTGTATTCCTTTCCCAATGTTTGTTTTTCTTTGCTTCTAATTAGTGAGGCAGTGCCAGCCAGTGGGCTACCATTTCAGACCGTGTACCGAATTATCGTGCCTTATGCCTCCAACTCAACTCAACTTTTTCCTTTTTTTTCCTTTCAGGCGCTCGTTGTGCTGGGGATAAGAAACGATATCACCTCAAGCGAAAAAGAGAAGAGCGTCCTCCTCGAATACTGTCCTTTGATTGCGATTCCAGTATTCGCGGTCGCTAACGTGCTATATTACGTTAGACAGGGCAAGGTGATTTTCAGGATTCCTGAAGAGATCCTGGATATTTTAAGATACATATTGATTAAATTTTCCACCTTTTTATTCAGAGATGGTGGGAGGCTTTCCGCGTTCGAACATCGTTAGCTTCTTCGAGCATAGCGCCTTCGAAAACAGCAAAAACCATCAGCAAGGTAACCATTACCCAACAAAAGTTCAGCAGCTTTTCCGGTGCAAGTCGGCTTGTTGGGGGCATTTTGCTGGTTCCAACCGATCGCCGTCAACAAGTCCTGTAGAGTATTCTGAAATTCCCGTAAGGCTATGCAATAGCCTGAGTCAGATTTCCACTTGACAAGACTCTACAGGTCTTACCAAGACTGAGACTACTATTCCAGCAGGAACTAGCGATAGAGACTAGCGGACGTACAAAATGCCCCCTAAGCCGAACAGGCCGCCTTTTCTTATTGAAAGTTGTTTGAAAACAATTCCATTTACAATTCGAATAGTGATTGCATTGTCGTGGTATGCGCCATGCATTCTTCTATCCCTTCAGAAGTGGCATTCTGAATAGGGTCTAGGCCTCCTCACTGACATGTGTACAGGTCATATCTTTCTGCACAGAGGGGCGTTTCCAAAATCCTGAGGCTTCCGGCGAGAGTACCGTATTCCCGTATTCCCGACTCTCTTGCACAAGCAGTCCATACTTGAGCATTGAGAGGCGCGGCTACAAGAATGGGACGAGCAGAAGCAAATACATGTGAAAGGAGAGAGTTGACCTTGAGGATGCAACCAAGCCCCTTGCTGCTCTTCGATATGGATGATGGATCTCTGTCTAACGTGTGGTACATGACAGCGTTTATGTCACCTATACAATTCTGCTTCCGAATGAACAAACCCCGGGGAAATATAAGACGGAAGCCGATCAGTCAAGAAACCGTGAGCGTGGCGCCACGTGCCACTGCAGTGAGCGTGGCGCCATGTGCCACTGCACGCCAACACCCCTAAATTGACTAATAGAAACCGCAAAAAAAAACAATCATATCCTGAACAACATGATGTTTATCAAGCGGAATGGAGTAATACTGCTCATTTTCAGATTCATCCGGAGACAGAGAATGTGAAGAACGGGACGTTCCGAGGAAAATTTTGAATCTCCAAGTCAGTGTCGCTGATACGAAGCTCTGATAATAATAAAGCTTAAGATAAAAAAATATAAGGATAATAACTGATCG